ACTTCGTCAGATTTTCTATTTATGGAAATATCATCTTACTTTGGGGAAATTTATTCTCATTAATTTGAAAAAAGGCACCTGTTAGGTATTGAAAACTTTTCTCCCATTCAATTTCTAACTTTTCCCCTCGCCGTTACCACGTTAAATAGTCTGTAAGCTGAACAAGTCAGAGGTTATGCCAACTAATTAAGTCGACAACTGATGGCTACAAATTTAATTGAAACGAATCTGCCGCTTAACAATTTCCACAAACAAAGGAGCGAACACGAAGGACCTGGTCGATTCAATGTGTTTCACCTGCAAAACCCATACCCCTGGCCATATCCGTATCGATGTCCTTCCCTGTCGGGCCACTCGAATTGAACGTCGTTTAAACGACACGCCAATTGTTGCCGCCAATGTTTGCCCTGGTTATTTCTGCTGTAGTCGAACGAAACAATTATTTCATATTAAAAAGCACAGAATAAAAGTCTGCGAAGTGGGAGTGAAAACAAATGGGCGAATAATTAAAAGTAAATTGAAATGAAATGGGAAGTGTGCGTGCGTCTGCTGGCCAGAAAACCTAATTAAAAAATATAAATCCGGCCATCTAAGCCCCCTCCCCAGGGGGAATGGATTCGCATTCGCAGTCACATTCTAAATTGAAACGAAGTCATTATCCTGGCCAAGCGTCTGTTTGTGCTGTTGAGTCCTGTTCAATGAACTTACCGGAATGCTGCAGCTGCAGTTTCCCCTTAATTTGTTTATTTTAAAAAGCGAAACAGAAGCTGGCTTTGAATTTACACTGGGAAAGTGAGATTGGGAAGAAAAGTCTTACAAGAAATTCAATATATCGTTTTAAGATATCAATCAGTTTAATACTTACTGATAGAGCTTATTTTACTTTACTTTACTTTCGAGTTATTTTCTCTTTAATCATTGCTTAATTTTTAAATTTTCGTGTGTTTTTGTAACCGTGTGCTTCCCCTAAGGAAAGGACTCGCACGAACAAACAAACAAACCTGCGGAGGGCAAGGCAAACAAAATCAAATTGTTGCTGTTTGTTGACCTATGTACGCCCCTACCATCAGTTCCAATTTCCAAGGTGTCCCTGTCCCCATCCCCATTGGACTTTAGTCTTATTTGTTTTCATTTTCATTTTCATTTCTGTGGAGAAGAAGCTGCATGGGGCAGACGCTTTTCGGTTGCAAGGTGTCTGGGGAAATTAACAAAGCCGCAGGTGCAGTGCCCCTACTCGGCAGCCCGAGTCCTTGGTTGATTTTTAACGAAATATGAATAGAGGAGCAAGAAGTCAGGCAGGTAGGCAGGCAGGTAGCTTTGTTTAAAGTCAGGCGTCAAGCTTCCAGTCAACGAACTCGCCCAACAGATTCTTTGGCTGAGCATTACGCATACGCAACGTTGAACAGCGAAACAATAAATTCAACTCTTAACCCTTTTTTTCTTGTTTTTTTTCTGAGCTCGCCCAGTTAATTACCACGAGCCAGTGCACAGCTAATTGGAGTTTAACCTTTCGAGCGGCTGTGCTATACTTTTGGCATTTTTATTTATTTACTCGCAGTCACTGGTGGAATAAGAAAATAAACCTCGAGGGATGGCCTCTCGCTTCCTGCTATAAATACCTGAAGAAAATTGTTTAGTGCCGCGCCACTTGGTCGCTTTTATCTAATTGCCAAAGCTTCGATTTTTATTTTCGTTTTTGTCAAACATTTCGAGGGCCGCCAGTCGCAAGTCACCGAGCATTTTTCTTAGCACGCAATTTCTGGCTACATAAATTTAAATTGAATTTTAAAAATTCACAAGCCAAAGAAACACCTCCAAAAAGTATCTATCTGTGTGTCTGCGGGGTTGCCTAATAAAAACGTTTGCTTTGGCATCGATTTTTGGCTCGTTTGCTTCACATTCCCCGTCTGGAGTTTATAAATATTTATGCGTAGCATTTTTCGGGTGGGCTTGCTTGGGTTTTCCGGTTGGCGACGATGAGCAGATGGATGGGGATGGGAAAACTATAAGTTAATGCGAACCGAAATGCACTGGGGACACACGGGGCGAATGATTGATGAAGCTTTGCGGTCAGCTCAACCCTGAATTTTGAGCGACAATGGGACAGCAGTAAATAAATACACACATATTTGGGTTAGAAAAGGATAAAGGAAGTCTGTTCACACATAACAATATTTACTTTTAGATCATAAAAAATAAATTGAAGCTTATTTGATATCTGAGAAAATCATTAATATTTATTAAAGTCTCCTTTAACAACGATTGCCGTCTGATTTGTCCTTCAGCGTTGATTGCTGGCGGATTTATCATTAGCTGAGCTCTGGAAGCTCATCAAATTCTCTCTCGTACACGTATCCACCAGCGGCAGCTCATCAATTTTTCAACAACTCTGACAGCCAAAAGCGACTTTCGGTTACATCATCCATACATCCTGGCTGTCACTAGACCGCAAACAGGACATGTTACATGGAACGGTGACTTAATTACCTGCCGCAAGCTGTTGTCATTAACAACAAATTTTTGTCCAGCTTCAAACAGGCAAGGAGGCCAGGGGCCAATCTAATCAATGGCCAAGTTCTGAGGGATCACCAGGACCCTACATTTCAATTATATTGTCACAATCCTGAGAGTGACTGACTGACTTGGATTTATAGTCCAATTAATTGGAGCAACGTCAACGCAAATGCAAAATTAAATGATTGCAAATGCTTGTCCTTGCGGGAGATTATCCAGAATCCTCGTTGGCTGGCAACATGCAGGAGAATTTGTTAACAAAAAAGGATTTCCATGTCGAGATTTGCAAGCTTCCGCCCTGCAAAGGCAAAAAGAGAAAATAAAAGCAAAGGAGCAGGCGAGAAGAAAGGAAAGTAATTTAAATTTGTAAATCGATAGGCTTGACGGTCCTCGAACCCTTTTTTTTATTTTTTTTGTTGCCGCTTTCACGATGGTTTTCCCCGTGCTGTTCCCATTTAAATTTATAAATATTTTAACTTAATAAATGCCAAGCAAGAGCGGTTGCCGGCGGCGCCTACAAGTCCCTAAATTTGCATAAACTAAAAGAGGAGCTCCTCGACTTCCACTCCTTCGACTGCCACTCAAGTGTTCTCTATTTTCGACCGGGGTGGTTGTCCTTTTAGAGAGCCTAGGCAAACATTCTCGACTTGGCAGCCAAGGCAGCCGCGGGCGGTAAGTCTTTCAACCCCTTTTTCAGCTCCTTTTTGCAAGGTTTACAAGCAGAATTTCCTTTCAGGTGCAGGTCCTTACAGCAGCTTTAACGGCTAATGGCAGCTAAGAGGGGCATTGAGCTGGTCTTTAGGAAGTGAAATAAGAGTTTTCTTTTGGTAAAATTAAGATATTGTAAAGAAACTTATATGTAATATAATGTATATACATTCTTGCTAGGATTTACCTTCAACAAAAAATAGCTAACTACATTTTGAACTCTTAAATAAGTATAGAACCCCAAATTAAACATCCTGACAAACATCATTAGCAATAAAAACCCTTCAAGTGCCATCTCTAATGCCCGGACTCTTCAATGGTTCATTTCACTGACCCAACATGCAAATTGACTGTGAAACAAACAGACGAGGAAGCCCAGCACACCGACACCAAATAGACATAGCAAAAACTTTTACATTCGTATAAAAATGAAATCAAAAGTCCCACACACACATTGGAATCAATGAGCCCAGCACAATTTATGGCTTAACATATCCTATATGCCATCTGCCTGTTCTTTTTGCCATCTCTCGCTATAAATTATTCCCCTCACATGGCAACTGCCATGCCCCACCGCCGCACATAGCAAACATAAAATATTATACATGAGTGGCTTTTATGCAAAGAAGCTGGGAGCAAAGACGCCTCTCCCGACACTTTAAACTTGGCTAAGCAACAAGTTGGGAGGAAATGAGAGAATAAGAATGGGAATGGTGGGGAAAATTATTGCGTTGCGGCAGACAGCGAGGCGGGAAAAACTTAAAGAGCCAACGGAAATTGTTGCCGCCTTTTAGGCCGACAACCAGGAATGATTTATATGTGCGGAGGCGGCAGCAGTGAGTTCCTCGAACAAGGATATGGGGCTTATCGTCCCCAAAAGGGATACGATTCGCCGCATTTATACGCGGGTTCGCTCGTTCATTAACAATTCATTAAATGCCACCAGAAAAATTAAACGCTAAGCTAAACAGGATAAATTCAATGGTGAAAGAAAGGTTAACCGAAATGGGAGTTCATATGAGGTCCTTAAACCTGAAATCAGCTTTTAACTGGAACGTACTCTCCATCGTTATAAGGTTGTAATAATAATTCATCAATTATGATATCTTCTTTCATTTTCAAGAGTATTCAAAATACGCTTACGCTTTGGGAACCGCAATTCGAATTGAATTTGGTAAAATGTGATATTTGCAATTATGTGTATGACTATTTAATGACCCTGACTGTTTGGTTACAAAAGGGAAAACAATCGGATGGAGGTGGGATATGCAATCAATAAATAATTTCCGCAACAAGTTCTGATGACAATTTCATTGGCTCCGACAGTTACGACCGGGGTTTATGTTTCATGTAATGCGCATTTAAATTATGTTAATTATTCATACGCACGCACTGGAAGCCAAAAAATAATAAATTAGCTGTGGAAAAGCAAAAAACGGTCCAGAACCCTAACTGGGCGATTATGAAGAGCCCTTGAAAAGTACTTCCGTACGCTTGGACGGGACAGCAAATTAACACCTCAAAAATATATATTTAGCGCTGGACACAATAACAGCAACAACAAAATAAAAATGTTATAAAAATAAGCAAAGTAAAAATGCGGAGCAGAAAGGTCAAGTCGACGGACGAGGGCCAAAAGCTGAGGCACTTGACATTGTCCGAAGCGAAACTGAAGCAAGGCGAAGCCCCTAAGAAGAGCACTCTACTTTCAAGTGGGTTCATTTGTTTTTGCCTTCTTCTGTTGTATACATATACACAATTTTTTTGTTTCTCTAATTATGGTGGTACTGGTTTTTGGCTATAAATTGAGCAACTGGCTGTTGGCAAACCATCAATCAGCTCAGGCAACTTTCAATTGCAAGACGCAAACCGCAAATCCCCAAAAAGCAAAACTTGAAAAATGGTGAGTCCTAACGAATTTCGGTTTTCTTCTCTCAGGAAACACAAAGGATATTTAATGGGGAACATAATAAATTTCGCTCGCAGAAAATCTTCTCGCTTGGTGGTGTCCTTACCCTCTCCGCTGTGGCCAGCGTGGCTTTGGCTGCTCCCCAATTCGAATCCCGCCTGCGCAGGGATGTCTCCGAACTGGTGGATCCTGCTGCCGTGGAGTACCTGCCACCCTCAATCACCGAGGCTGCCCTCCTCAATGCTGCTGAGCCTGTGGAGGCTGAGCCTGAGGTTGCGGCCGATCCTGCTGCCATCGAGGCCGATCCCGAGGGCACTGTCCTGGGCGATGAGGGTTACGAGTACCGCACGGTCCGCCGCCTGAAGCTGCGCCATCGCAACCGTCGGGATGTCTCCCATTTGCAACCCGCCAGGCAGTACTTGCCACCCAGCCAGGCTTACCTGCCACCTGCCCAGGAGGTACAGGCTGCCCCGAAGCTCCAGCAGCCGATGACACCGAGGAGGTGGTGTCCGCTGCCGAGCCCAAGGTGAACAGGGAGTACCTGCCACCCACTGAGGCTGCTCCTCCGGCTGCCGAGGAGACCACCGAAGCTGCTCCCCAAGAGGAGGAGGCCGATGTCCGTGTGGTGGATGTGCCCACCGTTTCGGGGCAACTGCTTCAGGATGGCTATCACTACCAGCAACCGGCTGAGATGCCCGCCGAGCTGCGTGAGGCTGCCCGGGAGTACCTGCCTCCCGTGACCGGAGGAGAGGAGGTGATTGTGGAGGGTCCAGCCGGAGGCGAGAGCGCCGTGCTGACCAGCGATGGATACCAGTACCGTGCTGTCAGGCGTTACAGATTTTAAATTTCTCAGTTTACCAGCGATTTGCTCATGTTTTCCCTTCAATTGTTGTTGATGTTTTTTTAATTTCGCTAAATAAATGTGTATTTTTGAACAGAATCAAAAAAAGGATTTCCAATTGTCCGCATAAAAAAGTGAAAAGTTAGTGTGTTAGCTAAGAGGCTTTAGAGATTAAAAATGTTTTGAATTTGGCAGAAATTGATGGTCGCTTAAAATATTAAAAAATGTGGGGTAAAAGGCCTTACATTTTTGATTTGATATAGTTTAAAATGCTCCAACAACTAAATGCAAAACAATTAAAGAAACTAACTTCGGGGTGCCGAAGTTGATATGTCCTTCAGTTTGCAATTGAATATTCGCATTTTTGGAATCGATATTTTTATATGACAAAATCAAAATTTTAAAATCTCATAACTAAGCCAAAAAATCAATCATTTTAATTCGGAAAGTGGTTTTATGCTAGTTTTTATTAGGTTAATAAATCTGCATACCTAATGTAAGACTATGAAAAATTCAATTTTTGCCAGTTTTTGACAATTTGAACGATGTATCCCCTTATAAAATTTTAAATTTTGGAAAAAATTGTATTTCCACCAGACATTGCTAGATCAATTCAGCTGTTAATGCTGATCAAGAATATATATGATTTATAGGGTCGGAAATGATTCCTTCACCACTTGAAGCTTCTGACTAGAATTATAAGGGTATAAAAAAGGTAATTGCTCATATCTTCAACTTAACCTATTATAGATTTTTAACTGGCACGAATAAAAATGCAAACAAAGGAAAAAGTTATTAATTCCCTGAAATCAAGTTCCGCATAATTAATGCATTTTTGTATGCACATTAACTGCTCAATGATGCGTCAAAATGCAGCAAAAATAAGAGGATTAAAAAGGGCAACAAATATTATAAATGGTGCAGAAAATAATTATCAGCATTTTAATTACCCCTGGCCACATAATTATCAATCAGTAAATAGCCTCAAAACATGTCTTAATCTACACAACCAGCTATGCGAACGATTTTAAATTCAACAATTTAAGGTTGCAGAACATTAATTGTATTTATTTATAAAACAATCAACTCTGTAAATATCCGGAATATATAATGCACTGTTAGCAAACAAGGATGTTGATTAACAATACGCTGGAATACGTCTGCATATAATTAAAGTCAACAGCCAGATTGACTACCTGTTTTGCTCCTCAGGAAAACATTACGTATACGCCCCGTGTTGCTTTTGGGCCATGTTTAGTGCCAATAAAACGGCCTTTATGTGTGAGCCACCAATTAGCTGAATTTATGCTCAATGGAGGCAGCTGCTCTGAAGAAGCCTTTCGATATGAAAATCATTGCAGCCATTTAGCAGTGTTTTATATCCATGTTCGGCCCGCATTCTCCTCCATGGTTGCCATGGACGCCTTTGGAGCTTAATTAATGCACTTGCGCGTTAACTCGGCCCAATGGGAATGGGCAGCGGAATGGGTTGGTTCGGGAAATCTTCCGCAAGAGGAGCAGCATTAAGTGCTCACTCAAGTTAAATTACTTTGACCGACGACAATGGCCGGAGGGGAAGGACCCAGATAATGACCAGCTCGTCACTTTTACACACTCACTCTTCACTGGTCAATTTCGCAGAGTTCGCTTTTCCTTTTACTGTCGCTATCGTGTCCTTTTCCTTGCGTTCACTTTTCTTTTTTTTTGGAAATTATGAAATCAATTGTGCGAAATTCAATTAAAATCTTTGCACTTTTCGCTGCACACGCCGGCATCTCAATTACATTCGAACATCTGTCCCGGGTATGATAAGCTCGTACCAACATTTTCCGCATGTTTATTTCGGGAACCAGAAGTCCCCAGGGGTTTGGAAAAGAAGGGCTTGGACTTGAGATTGAGTTTGGGCTTTGGCTGGAGCTGACTGTGACAGCCCGCTTATTGCATATTAAATTGTGGGGAAGACAACAAATCGAGAATCAGGAATCCAGTTTCAGGAGCAACAAGCGGCTACAATCGATTTGAGTGCTCGCCCGGAAGGACATTTGTGTTTTCGTGAGGGGCCAAACGAGCAGGAATAACAAAACCATCAAGTGGGGACAAGGAGCACAAATGGGTGGATGCCAGTGATGGGCAATACTTCTTAAGTGAACATATGATAGGTAATGATTACATTTACATTAGGGGAAATGTCTATTTCCCTGTGTATTAAGGATATTTTCAATATAGAAAATACAATTTAAATACTGGGAAATAATTACACTCCCTTGCTTGATAAAACATACCCAGGTGAACTTAAGCCGGATTACCTTTAAGATTATCTTTTGACGATGCAATTCCAGACGAAATTCCATCCCTTAACCCGGGAAAAATCAAATTGCCCTCCGGGTAGTCAATTTTCCTGCAGAATGCCTGCCTTTCTGCCTGCTTGAATGCCGCTGCAAGTGACAGTCTCGCCATGTGAAATGTTATTAAAAATTATTATGCATATTTATAAATTTAATTTCTGCATTACAACGCACTCTGACAGATAACACAAAGTGTATGTATATGCGTGCGAAGGCTGAAATCACTGCAGGCCATTTGAATGGAGCTCGTAAATGGCAGGAAAAATTTATCCACCACACGCCGCGTATGCATAATATTCCATTCCATTTTTTGATGTCCTTTTCTCCCGCCTCTCTGGTGAGCATTTCATACACGCTTTGTCCTTTGGAGCGGCGAGCATAAAAACAAAGGATGCCAGGATACGGGATACTTTCACACAGACGGTCGCCTGTCAAGTGCCGCGCTTAACGGTCGTCGAGGTGGCATCCTTAACCGAAGGATGTGACGTTTCAAAAGGGGGGTTTACACAGGCACTCCTTCCCTCTCTCTCTCTCTCTCTCTCTCTCTTCTTAATCAATGTCCCCCGCTAATTGAGTGCTAAAAATAAAATGAAAATGAAATGTCTACTTTAGTCAACGTTTTGTAGCCTTTCAAATTTATGAGTCCAATTTGTTTCAGTTTTAATATTAATTGTGCATGAGTTAAAGACGACACGATGGCTGTAAAAGAGTTCTATGTAAGTTGAATGTAGGAAATATATCTTGGAATATCTTAAGGATTTTCTTAGTAATATTATAAATGCTATACCATTCTTCATTCAAATGTCAGCTCGTTTTTTTTTACATTTTTAAACCCATTCAAGCGGCAAACTAACTCAAGCTTATCTCATCTGCTACTCTTTCGGCAACATTTGATCCGGGTTAATCCTTGCTGTCCACTGCAGGGTCTCGCCTACTATTTCCAGTTTGGTCCTAGACCCCCCGACCCACACCCTGGTCACTCAGCACTCGAGGCTTCCATCAGGCAGCTCGTTAATGGCCGCTCATTTGTGTGTCAGTGAGCTATGAATAAGCAATTCCTGCCCATCCGATTCTCCTCCAACTGTCCGCAGCTGGAGATGAAAGTTTTGTGGCCTCTGGTCAGATTCCCAACCAGCAGAAGCTGCGGCAGCAGCAACAGGCAACTCGAGTAAGTCCTGGACCCAGGGATCCAGGACGAAAAGGGAAGGCCAAAAGGTTCGCCTATTTTGTATGATATTGTGTGTCTGTGTGTCTGTGTGTAGGAAGTGTGTTACCCGAGAAGCGGGCCAAGCCAGCAGCTTTGAAGTGAGGCCAGGTAATTGGTTAATTATTAGGCCTTGTTTGCTATCCCGACTTTGGCCTCCGGGCCACTCTGCTCAGCAGGAAGCTAGGGAAATGCCCGGATAAAATTTAATGGGTAGCCGTCGCCTCGGATTACACAATCGGTCAACTGGCAGTTATGGACACAACATTTTCACATCACTAATTAGAGAGACGTCTCTGCCTTGTTCACTTAAAACCGACCAAATTTCAGGATTCTCATAGAGTCCAGGAAAATGTAGTTGTCAGGACAGATATACCCTTAAAAAGTGTAGGGGTATTAGCTAGTCTGTGGGTTTAGATCGCTTGGAATTTATTAGTCATAGAATTTGTACTCTTAATACCATTCAATTAATTATATTTACTAATATATATATTTATTTATACTAGAAAAACAAAAAGAGTATTTAAAACTGCTCTTGGTACAAAATTTTGTAACTTGATTTGCTCTGAATATGCAGGTGAAGCTGGAATTGTGGGGACAATGCCACAACGAGAACGAAGCCAACACTGTTCGTAATCATTTTTCACTGCAACTTTTCATTTTCTTTTTCCACACACACACGGAAAAGTCACACACAGTGCCAGAAGCATGCACACCTGTGCGTAGGTTTGGCTCTTGACTTTTGAGTCAGAAAATTAATAGCCTGACCACAGAAATTCTTGTAATATTCGTTGGGATTTTGTCCAGCAAAGAGTGGGCCCATTTTGTGTCGCAGCTATCAAAGCAATTTTCCCATTGTTTGCCCAACTTGTTGTAGTTTCTGTTTGCGTTTGCCATTTTAATTAAGTCAAAGTGTTTGCTTTACATGAACAAAAAAAAAAAAAAAGAAATTTGTAACAGAAAAAGTCGAGAGTAAAAAACAATAAACATTCCTGAGTAAATATTTTTGTTATATGAAGCCTTGCTAGTTTATGCACTCAGTCTGAATGTAATTTCAGACTGTTGATGGGTTTTAATTCCTGGTTCTCGATTGTCATTCCGATTTATTATTATTTAATAAATATTTGGAACCAATGAATGCCAAATGAGAGGGAAAATAAAGCATATCCAAGAATTAAAACGAGGGGAAATGTATTTTAATTTAAATTTCATTCTCACTATTTCTAATTTCCAGTCTGAATTATATTTTAGCAAATGAGAGAAATAATAATGAAGTTTGAAAGTGATGTGACTAAGTTTACAAACGAGAGCTCACGTACTGAATCTAAAATCTTTTAAAAATAGCAAAGTTAAAAAATAAGTTTAATAAAAAAGTTTAAGCGTTCAAGAAATAAAAAGAGTCTAACGTTACCAAAAACTTACCCCACACAGTTTAAAACATTTCTGATCATAATTTATAGATGAGCTTCTGGTTTCTCCTAGAGAATATTAAACTAATGAAAAATAGACATTTACACAAATCCTGGGTGTGTGTTTTTAGCAGGATATCATCAGCTCGGCTCTAGGCAGGTGAAATCCCTGAAGTTGGAGGACACCAAGTGGCACAAAAACACGTACGCAGAGCCCCCGCCAGGTGAACTATGTACGACAAGGACACTCAACTAGCTGGGGATAGACAGGGGCGGGGCGAGGCGGGGATTTGTGTGAGTCCCGTTTAGTATCCTTACCAGCAAGGAGGCGGGCTAAAATGCCGTCAGTCGGTCCTTGACAACAGCCCAAAGAGGAGGGAGAGGAAAGAACGGTGGGCGAAATAAAAAACGCATATTGCGTAAATTTCGATGTCAAAGGCGGAGGCAGGTCACAAAGTCGCTTGCGGATGCGGACTCTCATTCGGATTCGGATTCGGGAGGATTCGAAGGAGCCAGGGAGCCCAAGTCGAGGAGGGCCAAGAGCCCTGGGAGTCAGGTGCGTGTGCGGCACTTATGAGTGGCACTTAGTCTGGCCTAATACCCATCATTAGAGCATTTAACAGGAAACACGTGACGCTGCATAGCAGCCACCATACCCCACCACCACATCAGCTCCTGCTCCTCGTCCTGCCATCGCTCTCATCCTGAAACAGTGGTATTTGGGGTAAAAAGAGGATGTGCCACTTTAAACACGGCCTACAGTTTTCACACCCGAAAAGGATTTGTCAAAGCTGGCTTTTAAAGTGCCACACACAGTAGCAGCCGTAGGTGGTGAGCCCAAGACACAGTGGTTTCAGATCCTACACTGATTGTGCCCCGGAAATGTAATTAATTTCAAATTTATTCTTTGTTCTAAAGCCGGTGGCTAAGCATCGCGTTAGTGCCGTGGCTTACATAAGGAGATTGCAAATTTATCGGTTGCTTGACTATATTTATTATTAACCAAACGATTAGACAGCTAATTTGTCTGATAGCCGGTATTTGTGCGCCTTTTAAGTCTTAATTGTAGCAGGTAAATAAGGCACATTATCTTAAGATCAGATTAAGATATTTAAAGCATCGTCTGGAGCTGTAAGTTGTGTTGGAAGGTCCCTTGTAAGTAATACGATTTATTCATATATTTTTAATGTTTTATGACCAATAAAAGATTAAAAAACTCGTATCTTAGCAAAAAAAAGTATTAATTTCAATTTGAAAAGCTTTCCTGTGCTAGTTTTAATTAGGTTAATAAATCTGCATACTCAATAATCAAATTAAAAAAATTTAAATTTTTATCAATTTTTGACAATTTTAACGATGTAACCCCTTATGAAAATTTCAAATTTTAACAAAATTTGGAAAATGTTATTTTCTTTCTTGACATTGCTATATCGATTCAGCTTTTATTGCTGATCAAGTATGGTATATGGTATTAATATTTGGTATTTACGGTTAATTATTGTTACTTACATAAATGTAAAAACTTTTTCCCAAAAGTTTAAATTTCAAAGACAACAAAAAGAACATGAAAAGTTAAATACTGGCTACATGTCACAGACGCAGACATGCGGTCTTTTAATCCAGTTAAAAGTAAGAAAAGTTTATAATAGATTGCAGTATATGGCTAAATTAAGTTTTACATATGTTACACAATGACAGCGATGCCGGGATGATGGTGGATTCGTTGGTCCGGGCCAGAAGAAGCATCCGATACTCTTTGGAATGCGCTGCAGCAGACAATGTGGCAAGGGTGACTTAGTAGACTCTGGCTTGGAACGCCTTCGCTCAAACCACACCCGTGGGTCGCACATTGGTTGGCGGCGGAGCGCTACTGGGCTTGGTCATGATGTCCATGGCGTTCTTGAACAGCTGCGTCCTCACAAAGTCCGTGGCGGCGCTGTTGAGATCCTTGCTAGCGCCGTAGTTGCACTTGATGTAGCCGTATAGATTGGCGGCATTCAGCGCGATCGCGATCATCACCAGAAGCAGCCACTTGAACTTTAGCCCAAAGAGGGCCATTAGGAAGAAGAGGCCCCAGAACACCGGGCAGAGGATGAGGCCCAGCCAGAAGACCCGCTGCTCGTGCTTGTTAACGCGGCTCTTGAAGGATTCAGAAGACTACGTTTCATCATCAAGGGAATACGTTTGGCCTAACGTAATTACTCACATTTTTCGACTCGAACACCCAATGGGACTTGCCGTCGTCGTCGACGTAGTTCCACCAGCGCAGGCCCACCAGCAGCCGACCGGAGATGTTCTTCACCGTCCAGAAGTCAGCCGAAAGGAAGAGCACCACGAACACGAAGCTGGTGATGAAGGAGTCACTGAACCAGCCGCAGAACATGTAGATCACGATGGCGGCTCCCCTGAAGAACAGGTGGAAGAACGTGACGTATGGGTGCCTGCATCAGAGGAGGAGGGATTAATGGGTGAGAACAGCTGGCACTTTGACACAGAGCGACTTCTGCCTACGTGTATTTCTGGCCCGCCTGACTGGGATCCCGCATCTCGTCCTCCTCGCCAAATGGTATCGTGTCATCGTCGAGCAGCGGCACCTACACAACAAGTAAGATAAGTTAGTAAGGCTTTCCCAGGGTTTTCCGGAGGGGAATTTTATTCTCGGTGAAAGAAAACCTCGGGTTTGTCGGGGTGGCACACCAAAAAGCGGGTTGTTAGGTGTTAATTGCGGCATACATACATTTCTTACCGTTGCGGATGCCATACTTTATGTTGCTTCTTGGCTTTTGTTGACTAATGACTCTTATTTCATAGAATTAAGTGTTTTTGATGTATTTTTAATGTATTATATTTCACTCAACTTTTTTGTTGTTTTTGTTTTCCAGCTGCAAAAATATCGATAGCAGTCCCCTGCTCAGAAACTGGTCACACTCAGCCCTATTGACATTGGCACTAGAGATGGGCACCGCAGATAGCGATGTTTTTTAATTAAATTGGTTGTATTTCATAATTTAATTTATTTTAAATTAACGCTCTATCGCAGGGACATAGACAAAATTTAAAGCATTAACAAACGTCAATATAAGTTTATTTTGTTAGTAGAGAAATTTAAATTTAAATTTAGAAAGATTTCATTTACGTTCATTTCATCATCATCGGCTTAAAATGCTTCCGCAAAAATTTTGAAACTTGAGATAAAGCAGTTCACATAATTTATAATTTATAATAATTTTGAACAGAAATATGTACTAAGATAGAAACTGGTAAAAAGTATTATTTAATTTAAACTAATTTTACTTATTAGTATAGTTTTAAGATTCTCTGTTTTTAAATGGCGTTGCCAGGCTGATAATACAATTCGACAAGTTGGCAGCCTTGGACGCGAGAACGAGAAATGAGCAAGTAGTGGAAAGTTCCAACAAGATGGCAGACCCAGGCTATTGACTGTGCGCATTATTTTAAAACCAAACGGACAAACGAAGACGCCTGCGCCCACGGATTTCTTAGGAATTTGTGCTTAAAAGCAGTTCAGAAGGGTTTAATCTGTACATATAAGTTAATAGGTTGCAAAGTAAGTTGCAGAAAAAGGGAAAAAACAAGGATTTCCAGGCGGCGCACATTCACACGGGCACGCATACAAGTGCAACTGCCGGCGTCACTTTTGGACTGTACGCGGTAAAAACAGAAATAATTGATTTAAATTGCCTGCAATGGATGTATCCAGTGGAAATACATCGCGGCAGCCGCCCAAGAAGTCAAACCAAAACATTCAGGTGTATGTGCGCGTCAGGTAAGTGTGTCCGCGGCTGTAAGATGCAACGGAATGCGACTTCTGACTTTTCATCCCTTCCCGCAGGCCCCTGAACTCGCGGGAGAGATGCATCCGTTCTGCTGAGGTCGTGGACGTAGTGGCGCCCAGGGAGATAGTAACACGCCATACCCTGGACTCCAAGCTGACCAAGAAGTTCACCTTCGACCGCAGCTTCGGGCCCGAATCCAAGCAGTGCGATGTGTACTCCGTGGTGGTGTCTCCTCTGATCGAAGAGGTCCTGAACGGCTACAACTGCACGGTCTTTGCCTATGGTCAAACGGGAACGGGCAAGACGCACACCATGGTGGGCAATGAGTGCGCCGAACTGAAGTCCTCTTGGGAAGATGTGAGTTTAATTAAAAACCTTTTATAACCAAATCCTCTTCAAACTATTTGCCTACCTGCTAGCCTTAATTGCTACCAAGCAAAGGGTTTATGCCAGGCTTTTAGCAAGAATGGTAGAAGGCCAACCGGAAAACCGGTTTCTTAGCTGTAGAAAAACCAATCTATACCATTTCTAATCTAATTCCCGTTTAGGACTCTGACATTGGCATTATTCCACGAGCGCTGAGTCACCTCTTCGACGAGTTGCGCATGATGGAGGTGGAGTACACGATGCGCATCTCATACCTGGAGCTCTATAACGAAGAGCTGTGCGATCTGCTATCCACTGATGACATGACCAAGATTCGTATTTTCGACGACAGCACCAAGAAGGGTTCGGTTATCATCCAGGGCCTTGAGGAGATACCTGTGCACAGCAAGGATGATGTGTACAAGCTGCTGGAGAAGGGCAAAGAGCGCCGGAAGACGGCAACTACTTTGATGAACGCACAATCCTCACGATCTCACACTGTCTTTTCGATTGTGGTCCACATAAGAGAGAATGGTATCGAGGGCGAGGATATGTTAAAGATCGGCAAATTGAATCTGGTGGATCTGGCTGGCAGCGAGAACGTCTCGAAGGCGGGCAACGAAAAGGGTATACGTGTCCGAGAGACGGTAAACATTAATCAGAGTCTGCTGACGCTTGGCAGGGTGATCACAGCCCTTGTGGACCGTGCTCCCCACGTTCCCTATCGCGAATCAAAGCTCACCCGGCTGCTCCAAGAGTCGCTGGGTGGCAGGACCAAGACCTCCATCATAGCCACCATCTCACCGGGCCACAAGGACATCGAGGAGACGCTCAGCACCTTGGAGTACGCCCATCGGGCCAAGAACATACAAAACAAGCCCGAGGTGAACCAGAAGTTGACCAAGAAAACGGTGCTCAAGGAGTACACAGAGGAGATCGACAAGCTCAAGAGAGATCTCATGGCTGCCAGGGATAAGAATGGCATCTACTTGGCCGAGGAGACCTATGGCGAGATGACCTTAAAGCTGGACTCGCAGAACCGCGAGCTCAATGAGAAAATGCTGCTGCTGAAGGCCCTAAAGGATGAGCTCCAGAACAAGGAGAAGATCTTTAGTGAGGTGAGCATGTCGCTCGTAGAAAAGACTCAGGAGCTGAAGAAGACTGAGGAGAACCTCATGAACACCAAGGGATCGCTGCTGCTTACCAAAAAGGTGCTGACCAAGACCAAGCGGCGTTACAAGGAGAAGAAAGAGTTGGTGGCCTCGCACATGAAGACTGAGCAGGTTTTGACCACACAAGCAAAGGAAATCCTAGCCGCAGCCGATCTGGCCACCGATGATACCTATCAGCTCCACGGAACTATAGAGAGGCGACGCCATGTGGACGCCGAGATTCGAAAATCCTGCGATAAGTTTAAGGATCGAATGCAGGACAACCTGGAGATGATTGGCGGCAGTCTGAGCCTGTATTTGGAACAGGATGCAGCCTCCAAGGCGAGTCTGAGCGCAGAACTGGGTGAGCTTCCCAAATAGAATAATCCTACATCAAATATTAATTTAAATATATTCCTTTTAATTTCCTTCAGAGAACTCCAGCAATGTGAGCCAACGACTCGCCAGCAATGCCACCAAAAGCATTGCGACGCTGATGGAAATCTGCAGCCAATCTTTGGCAGATCAGGCCCAACTGCAGAAGCAGTTGATCAATGAAATATCACAGAGCTGCGATCAGCACACTCAGAAGCTGGTCGCCCAGATGCTGGATCAGATGCAGCAGCGCGAGCAGCAAATGAGCAGGGACATTCAGGTGAACCTGCAGGAGATGGAGGAGAATAACCAGCGCCACAAGGCCATGCTAGACTCCATTCAGGAGAAGTTCTCCCAGATAATTGACAGCAGTTCCCAGTCTCTGGAAAACCATGTTGCCAAAGTAAAGCAGCAGCTGGATGAGCTCAGCGGTATGAGTGTGCCGGATGGTGAGCACCTGAAGCAGCTCCAGGAGGAGCTGGCCAATGAACAGGCGCTGGCAAGGCAGGAAGAGGCTCTGCTTGAGTCCCTAATGATGCAAATGGAACAGATTAAAAATTTAAGGGCCAAGAACACCAAAAGTATGTCTGAACGCATCGGTCAATTGGGAGAGAATCGCTTGGCCAGAAATAAGCACATCGATGCGACCCAGTCTGGTATACAGGATTACCAAAAGTTGGGTGCCGTAGCCTCTCAATCCGCCCGAAAGGAACTCAGCGGCCAAATGGAGGCGGGAATGCTATGCCTGGACCAAAGCATCGCCAAATGCTCCATGCTCCAGGTGCACTTGCAGAATCTCGGCCAAGAGTGCGCCAAACAAACAGAGGTCAATGTACAGGCTAGCCGCCTGCACCAGGTGTCGCTCAAAGAAATCTGCCAAAAGAGCGACAAGCTACTAGAGGAGCTACAGGGAAAACAGAAGGTCCATCTTGAGGAATTTGCTAGCGAGAAGCAGCAGCTCATTACCGAGGACAGGCAGCGGTTCAGAGGCCATTCGACTTTAGCCAGCGACCATGTGCTTGAGATGACTCGTCAAACTACCGAACATGGGGCACTACAGCGCCAGCAGCTGCAGATCTGCGAACAGGAGGTGACGCGCTTCCAACAAAGCGAGCTTAAGACGTATGCACCCACTGGGACCACTCCCTCAAAGCGTGACTTTGTGTATCCACGATCACTGGTGGCCACGTCGCCGCATCAAGATATCGTAAGGCGATATCGCCAGGAGCAGGATTGGTCTGACTTGGACACAACGGCCACCATAGACGAGGTAACTAATGAGCTTTAAACATAGTTGAAAAAATTATAATATATTTATTTAAATTTTACAGTGCAGTGAAGGTGAGGATGATGCTTCGTCCCTGCACTCTGTCCAGGAGCTCTCCGAGACGGAAACCATAATGAATTCCACGCCCATTGAAGGCGTGGATGGCATCAATAAAAAGCGTGGCAGTGGCACTAGGAACTCGAATTCGAATGCTTTGAAGCCTCCGGTAGCCAGCGGAGGAAGCAGTGGCAAACGCAGTAGCTCCTTATCCCGCTCCCTAACGCCCAGCAAGTCTTCGCCAAGAAATTCACCAGCCTTCAACCGGGTAAGTAAAGGGAACAGCCGTCCAGCTAAACGCTGCGCAAACAGCCCCCGCTGATTATTTATTTGCATATTGCTTTTATTTACCATATTCCCAGCATAACAAAGAAAACGTGGCCTGATTGCATTGATGTCCCTCGCCGTACTCATCCCAGTAACTCACTTGAATCGTTTTGTTTGTTTGGCTCTTTTCAATATTCTCTTTATTATTAATCTGTATATCAAACATTGGAATTTCGTACAATTATTATTTAAATAAACTTAGTATGCTATGTAAAGTTAACGAAAGCCTTTAAGAATTGAGTTCAAGGCCGTTGGGTCAAGTTTAACTTACAGATTCAAGTTTCAGTAATTGAAGAGGATTCTTATCAAGTGAAAAGGTAATATTAGTAGAACTTGTATATATAAAGTTAAAGAGTTCTCTTAAAGAATGACTAAACTTTAAATTCAATATTTAATTTATTTTTCAAACTTAATGAAGCCACTTTTTCATTCGTTTTTGTTATGAAAACCCATTGGAGATGATTCCAATTTAAAATATTCCTAAAAGATGTACAAGTATAAGCAAAAATTGCGTATACTTTTATATTTTTTGGCTTGCTTAAAACGACATTAGTACTTAATCCTCATCGTGATCGTCGTCATCGTCCTTAAGAATGCCCAGGCGACGAGCCACTTCCTTGACATTAGCTATAAACTCCTCCTGAACAAGATTGAAGCTCATGGCCAGCAAAGCGATGCCGAAGAGCAGATACAGCGAACAATAGGCAATGGACTGCTCAGATTCATCTTTGACTCCCTTCGCTGGAACAAAGTCTCCAAATCCTGAAAAGTAGATCAAATTATGTCATCATCAAACTTAAATTAAAGTTACAACTCCTCACCAATAGTTGTCAGTGTGATGAAGCAGAAGTAGGCGGAGTCCAGAAAGGACCAGTTCTCCCAATAGGCAAAGAGAACAGCTCCACCAAGGATGTAACTGACCACCAGAAAGACGCATAACCAAATGGGCACGGGACGGTCCTTGGGCAGCAGATCACCGTAGTCGCCATATTCATCACCATACATGGAGTCATCGTCATCATAGTCGTAGCTGGGTCGACGACGGATTTGACGCTGGACTGGAAAACCCATGGGTGACATGATCCTTGGCGAGGGAGGAAGACGTTCGGCTCTCTCTCTACGTCTGTGCCTTCTTGGTTCCCGACTTCTCGATCGATGGCGTTCTACAGGATAATCCTCGTAGTGGTCACCATAAAGCGACCCCTCATCGAAGCTCTCTTCTACGTACTCCTCGTAGCGTCCCTGTGAGTGACCACGTCGATCTCTGCGATGGTCCCGTCCATTCCTTGGAGCATCGTAATCCGGCAGTTCCAAATGATTGCCATAACGTGAAGACTGCCTGCCCAAACTTCCAGCCCTCCTGCCATTATTCTGACGATGGGAACTATGAGGTGGTGGTTGCGGAGATCTCTCCCTTTCACGATCCCTCTGGCGTTGTCGTTGGTGAGCGGATCTGGGCATGGATTGGCTTCTTGGAGCTGCATGTCGTCTGTGGCCGCTTCCTCCGAAATCGTCCAAGGCGTACCTGTTCGGAATAATTGGAGTTTTCCTCACCACATCCTCATCTACATCTTCGTAGTGCGAGGACACGTGCCTGGGATCCACGGACTTGGCTCTACTCCTCCCAGGAGCCGAGTGAAGACGATGCAGTTCCTTGGAAGCCCTTGAAGAATCCTGGTTATGCGGCGATCGAACCGAACGCACACTGGCTGCCCTTTTGGCTGGCGGTGCAATGTCGCTAAAGTCTTCGATGGAGCCGGCATCCAAGTGGGATCTGGAGTACCGCTCCCTTTCTACCGTATGCCTATCCCTCATCCGATCCCGTTGCCTCTGACGGCTGCTATAACGTTGTGAGCGATTCAGAGTCTGTGTCTCGTACTCATCCCCGTAAACGGTGTGACGCTGGCGAGGATCGTGATGCAAGTGCTGCTGCTGCTGCTGATGACGACGATTGCGTCCGCCACCACTTGAACGATGTCCGAACTCCCGGTCGTCGTAGCCCCTGCCCATTGTCCGCAGTTCCGGGTCGGAGTAAGCATGTCCCATGGAGGGCCCCAGACCAGAATCATTGCCCGACCGTTGGGTCATCTTCATGGAGCGTCGGAACGAGGGCGGCGGCTGGGAGCGGGCATTCCGCTGCGACCGCATGGATCGCTGCCGAGAGCGGGCATTCCTTGGCCTCTTGGCTGTGCGGGTGCACACATAGCAACAGATTCGCCAGTACAAAAACCTGGTGAGTATCGGATTTCATGTATTCGGTAAATTATAAATGTATATTCTAAAATGTATTTATTAATGTAATTATTTTGTTAATAGCTGTGAACTTACCGAAATGATGTGGCCATGACATCTCCAATGTTGGACAGACAGATCAGCATCAGTGGAATGCCCACAATGGCGTAGAAAATCGTTGTCACCTTGCCCCAATCCGTGCGCGGCGAGATGTGGCCATAGCCTGTCCAGAAAATGACGGGGGAATAATAAATTACTTTGGCTCCAAACGGTAAGTTTGATTTCATATTATTTTCATTGCTTTACCTTCAACCTTGTGACCGCAAAAGTTCTTGAAATGCTAATATGTCTAAGACCCGCTAAGGCTTAATCTATCTGCCCTTCATTTTGTACAAGCCAAGCCCATTATCGCTCCGAAAAGTAACAGAAAACAAAAATAAACAATTGCCAACCATGGTATTTCAAGTCTACCGCCTTTGGCGTTTGAGGAAGTGTTTAAATTCATAGATAGCACTCTTTACCCCTTCTCACTGAGTTCTAAGTTGATGGGCGTCGGTCACTAAACCCATTTGTGTTTAAGCCATAAATCCATATCGGGGGAATTGTGCACACGAGAGACCACCAAACTAAGTTCTCATCATCATCAAAAACGGAATCAAATAAGCAACTGAAATATTATACTTTAAAGTGAATAGCGACGGGTTGACTGCCCTCACATAATAATTTGATTTAGTCGTGTAAAAATTTGAATTGTTTTGTATATAAAAGGGTTTACAAGCAGATTAGCGTAAGATTATTAGGCCTTTTCGTTATCTCTATTTAAACAGCAGATAAATTTAAAAAATTAAATTTGTTGTCAAATTTTGGCAATTTTAATGATATAACCCCTTATAACATTTTCAATTTTCGGAAAAATGTCAAAAATTTATTTCTTGACCGGACATGGCTAGAACGATTGGGCTGTTGATGCTGATCAAGAATATATATGGTTTATAGGGTCGGAAATGACTCCTTCACTGCGTTTTAATCTTCTGACTGAAGCTATACTCAGCAAAAAGGTATAAAAACAGACAATTTTCTTAAATAATCGCAGTTTTCCGAACATCATATTTAAGCCAAAATAGCATTAATTTTGATTCGGAAAGCTCTTCTGTGCAAGTTTTTATAGCACTAACAAATCTGCATACTGCGTTTGTTGATGTTGTTATAAGTTTCTGACTAAAATTATAATAACCTGCAAAAAGGTATAAAAACAGGCAATTTTTCCAAAAATCATAGTTTAAAAAAACTCATAACTAAGCCAAAAAATCATTAATTTTAATTCGGAAAGCTGTTCTATGCTAGTTTTTAGTAGATTAACAAAGCTGCGTACTCAGTTTTCAAATTTAAAAAATTCAATTTGTTGTCAAATTTTGGCAATTTTAATGATGTAATCCCTTATAACATTTTTAATTTTCGGAAAAATGTCAAAAATTTATTTCTTGACCGGACATGGCTAGAACGATTGGGCTGTTGATGCTGATCAAGAATATATATGGTTTATAGGGTCGGAAATGACTCCTTCACTGCGTTTTAATCTTCTGACTGAAGCTATACTCAGCAAAAAGGTATAAAAACAGACAATTTTCTTAAATAATCGCAGTTTTCCGAACATCATATTTAAGCCAAAATAGCATTAATTTTGATTCGGAAAGCTCTTCTGTGCAAGTTTTTATAGCACTAACAAATCTGCATACTGCGTTTGTTGATGTTGTTATAAGTTTCTGACTAAAATTATAATAACCTGCAAAAAGGTATAAAAACAGGCAATTTTTCCAAAAATCATAGTTTAAAAAAACTCATAACTAAGCCAAAAAATCATTAATTTTAATTCGGAAAGCTGTTCTATGCTAGTTTTTAGTAGATTAACAAAGCTGCGTACTCAGTTTTCAAATTTAAAAAATTCAATTTGTTGTCAAATTTTGGCAATTTTAATGATGTAATCCCTTATAACATTTTTAATTTTCGGAAAAATGTCAAAAATTTATTTCTTGACCGGACATGGCTAGAACGATTGGGCTGTTGATGCTGATCAAGAATATATATGGTTTATAGGGTCGGAAATGACTCCTTCACTGCGTTTTAATCTTCTGACTGAAGCTATACTCAGCAAAAAGGTATAAAACAGACAATTTTCTTAAATAATCGCAGTTTTCCGAACATCATATTTAAGCCAAAATAGCATTAATTTTGATTCGGAAAGCTCTTCTGTGCAAGTTTTTATAGCACTAACAAATCTGCATACTGCGTTTGTTGATGTTGTTATAAGTTTCTGACTAAAATTATAATAACCTGCAAAAAGGTATAAAAACAGGCAATTTTTCCCAAAAATCATAGTTTAAAAAAACTCATAACTAAGCCAAAAAATCATTATTTTTAATTCGGAAAGCTGTTCTATGCTAGTTTTTAGTAGATTAACAAAGCTGCGTACTCAGTTTTCAAATTTAAAAAATTCAATTTGTTGTCAAATTTTGGCAATTTTAATGATGTAACCCCTTATAAAATTTTCAATTTTCGGAAAAATGTCAAAAATTTATTTCTTGACCGGACATGGCTAGAACGATTGGGCTGTTGATGCTGATCAAGAATATATATGGTTTATAGGGTCGGAAATGACTCCTTCACTGCGTTTTAATCTTCTGACTGAAGCTATACTCAGCAAAAAGGTATAAAAACAGACAATTTTCTTAAATAATCGCAGTTTTCCGAACATCATATTTAAGCCAAAATAGCATTAATTTTGATTCGGAAAGCTCTTCTGTGCAAGTTTTTATAGCACTAACAAATCTGCATACTGCGTTTGTTGATGCTGTTATAAGTTTCTGACTAAAATTATAATAACCTGCAAAAAGGTATAAAAACAGGCAATTTTCCCAAAAATCATAGTTTAAAAAAACTCATAACTAAGCCAAAAAATCATTAATTTAATTCGGAAAGCTGTTCTATGCTAGTTTTTAGTAGATTAACAAAGCTGCGTACTCAGTTTTCAAATTTAAAAAATTCAATTTGTTGTCAAATTTTGGCAATTTTAATGAAAATTTTCAATTTTCGGAAAAATGTCAAAAATTTATTTCTTGACCGGACATGGCTAGAACGATTGGGCTGTTGATGCTGATCAAGAATATATATGGTTTATAGGGTCGGAAATGACTCCTTCACTGCGTTTTAATCTTCTGACTGAAGCTATACTCAGCAAAAAGGTATAAAAAACAGACAATTTTCTTAAATAATCGCAGTTTTCCGAACATCATATTTAAGCCAAAATAGCATTAATTTTGATTCGGAAAGCTCTTCTGTGCAAGTTTTTATAGCACTAACAAATCTGCATACTGCGTTTGTTGATGTGTTATAAGTTTCTGACTAAAATTATAATAACCTGCAAAAAGGTATAAAACAGGCAATTTTTCCCAAAAATCATAGTTTAAAAAAACTCATAACTAAGCCAAAAAATCATTATTTTAATTCGGAAAGCTGTTCTATGCTAGTTTTTAGTAGATTAACAAAGCTGCGTACTCAGTTTTCAAATTTAAAAAATTCAATTTGTTGTCAAATTTTGGCAATTTTAATGATGTAACCCTTATAAAATTTTCAATTTTCGGAAAAATGTCAAAAATTTATTTCTTGACCGGACATGGCTAGAACGATTGGGCTGTTGATGCTGATCAAGAATATATATGGTTTATAGGGTCGGAAATGACTCCTTCACTGCGTTTTAATCTTCTGACTGAAGCTATACTCAGCAAAAAGGTATAAAAACAGACAATTTTCTTAAATAATCGCAGTTTTCCGAACATCATATTTAAGCCAAAATAGCATTAATTTTGATTCGGAAAGCTCTTCTGTCCAAGTTTTTATAGCACTAACAAATCTGCATACTGCGTTTGTTGATGCTGTTATAAGTTTCTGACTAAAATTATAATAACCTGCAAAAAGGTATAAAAACAGGCAATTTTTCCCAAAAATCATAGTTTAAAAAAACTCATAACTAAGCCAAAAAATCATTATTTTAATTCGGAAAGCTGTTCTATGCTAGTTTTAGTAGATTAACAAAGCTGCGTACTCAGTTTTCAAATTTAAAAAATTCAATTTGTTGTCAAATTTTGGCAATTTTAATGATGTAACCCCTTATAAAATTTTCAATTTTCGGAAAAATGTCAAAAATTTATTTCTTGACCGGACATGGCTAGAACGATTGGGCTGTTGATGCTGATCAAGAATATATATGGTTTATAGGGTCGGAAATGACTCCTTCACTGCGTTTTAATCTTCTGACTGAAGCTATACTCAGCAAAAAGGTATAAAAACAGACAATTTTCTTAAATAATCGCAGTTTTCCGAACATCATATTTAAGCCAAAATAGCATTAATTTTGATTCGGAAAGCTCTTCTGTGCAAGTTTTTATAGCACTAACAAATCTGCATACTGCGTTTGTTGATGCTGTTATAAGTTTCTGACTAAAATTATAATAACCTGCAAAAAGGTATAAAAACAGGCAATTTTTCCCAAAAATCATAGTTTAAAAAAACTCATAACTAAGCCAAAAAATCATTAATTTTAATTCGGAAAGCTGTTCTATGCTAGTTTTTAGTAGATTAACAAAGCTGCGTACTCAGTTTTCAAATTTAAAAAATTCAATTTGTTGTCAAATTTTGGCAATTTTAATGATGTAATCCCTTATAAATTTTAATTTTCGGAAAAATGTCAAAAATTTATTTCTTGACCGGACATGGCTAGAACGATTGGGCTGTTGATGCTGATCAAGAATATAATGGTTTATAGGGTCGGAAATGACTCCTTCACTGCGTTTTAATCTTCTGACTGAAGCTATACTCAGCAAAAAGGTATAAAAACAGACAATTTTCTTAAATAATCGCAGTTTTCCGAACATCATATTTAAGCCAAAATAGCATTAATTTGATTCGGAAAGCTCTTCTGTGCAAGTTTTTATAGCACTAACAAATCTGCATACTGCGTTGTTGATGCTGTTATAAGTTTCTGACTAAAATTATAATAACCTGCAAAAAGGTATAAAAACAGGCAATTTTTCCCAAAAATCATAGTTTAAAAAAACTCATAACTAAGCCAAAAATCATTAATTTTAATTCGGAAAGCTGTTCTATGCTAGTTTTTAGTAGATTAACAAAGCTGCGTACTCAGTTTCAAATTTAAAAAATTCAATTTGTTGTCAAATTTTGGCAATTTTAATGATGTAACCCCTTATAAAATTTTCAATTTTCGGAAAAATGT